TTTTTAATAATATTAAAATTTTATTTCAATTAATAATTTAGATAATTTTATTATTGTATAGGTGAACAGTTAGAAATTTTACTTTTTCAATTAATTCCGTTAAATAAAAAATTCTGACTGAAAGGTATTTGTAATTTTCTAAACCATAAGAAACAATTCATATTTTAAGCAAATCTCAGAAAGTGTATTTGTAATTTACCCAAATATTAAATAAGTTAACATTTTGTGTTCCTATGCCTTGAATAAATATGAAACCATTTCATTGCATAGGTCAAACATGAGTTACACCTTCCATGGATAGCTAGAATGGATCATCTTGATCATAGGTTTTGGATTGAAGCAAATAACGCCGATTCTCTTTGGGTTGCAAAAGCCTCCTTATACAGGTATATCAACAATTAAGTTAATTTACATGCTCATTATCAGGTTAAACCAGTTGTAAATACAAAACTTCAAAATATTAGGTTATCATGTCTTCATAATGACAAGCTAATGAAACTAGCTGTGGAAAACTACAAGTTTCGACAATCAATCTACCAGAATGAATTGGAGGAAGTGAAAAGGTATGTGTGGTATTTCAATACATGTAAATCATTACACATTATATTCAAATATTATAGATATCACTAGAGTAAAATGGGTCATTCGTATCATCATAGATCATTCCTTGCTTATGGGTATAGGTGGTCAAAGGATTGGTGCCTCAGTGACATGGGGTTTGGAAGGGAAAAAACAACTTATTGTTACTTTGCCGTGGCGGTCAGCAATAACTTGCCATACGATTCTATTATCCGATTAATTGTTGCAAAAAGTGCAATACTTATAACAGTTGCTGATGACTTTTTTGACATGAAAGGTTCTCTAAAAGAATTGAAACACTTGACAGAGGCAGTTCAAAGGTGCAGTCCTATTTTCTTTAATATAAACACACATTTTAATGCCCATCAAGTCACTTCCTCAATTTTTTTTATTAACAGGTGGGATGGAAATGGTTTAAGTGGCCATGGTAAGATTATCTTTGATGCTCTTGAAGACCTTGTGAGTGACATTGGTAATAAGCACCTCCATCAACAAGGAAGCGACATAACCAAAAATCTTAAAGATATTGTAGGCTTTTATATATATAAATGTGTCATGTATTTTACTCAATAATCGTTGTTTATTATAATTGGAAGCTTGAAATAATTAATTTTTCAAAACTAACTCATGTGCGATAGTGGCGGGAAACATTTGCCTCATGGTTTGTGGAGGCTACATGGAGCAACAATGGATACATACCATCCATGTACGAATACCTTGACATTGGTGCAATATCAGTCGCCACACACACAATAGTTTTGCCTGCTTCATGCTTCTTAAACCCGAAATTACCAAATCATAAACTCAAATGTTCCCAATATGAAACCATCACAAAATTGCTCATGGTTACAACACGATTGTTGAACGACGTTCAAAGTTTTCAGGTAATTCTACAAACAATTATTTGTAATAAATAAAATTTCAACGATGTTTGTTTTCCAAAAAGCTCATATCATGCGCATGTACTCGCAGAAGGAGCAACTAGATGGGAAAACAAACCTTGTTTTGATCCACTTCAAAGGTTATCCACAGTCAGAGATTGAAGATTCAATTGCTTATGTTAAAGAGATATTGGAAGAAAAGAAGAGAGAGTTACTTGAACATGCTTTGATGGATGATAGATTCAATGATTTGCCTAAACTATGCAAGCTTCTCCACTTATCATGTCTAAAAGTGTTTCAGATGTTTTTCAACTCTTCCAATCTATTCGACTCCAACACAGAACTACTCGATGATGTAAAGAAAGCAATTTATATTCCTCCAGAATATCAAATTAATAAACCCCTGAAGCCTATACTTCCATTTCCTTCCAAATCGGAGAAGAAGAATTCGAAAGTCCTGGCTCGTTTTATCGAAAACTTCAAATATCAACACTTCACAAGGATTCCTTCAAGAGTTGGGTTTGAGAAAGTGGTCATTCCACCAAAATTCAAGTTGTGCTTTGTATGAATTTGTCCAGTATTGAACTTCAGTCCTATCTAAGTTATTATTACATTATTCAATGGTAGGTGTAATAATCTTTTTATTAATTTAAAATAATTATATATTTATATTTATATTTATATTTCCTAACCATTAGATATATAATAATAAAAATTCATTACATAAGATCAAAGTCCTTGTGCTTGTATCACTATTGTGTAATACCGCATGAGTTGGTGTTGGCTACATATTTTGTATAAGCCAATTACAATTCAACGCATGGCAAAATAAAGACAATACGGAAAGACTATTCAAGTTTTCGATCATGATCGTGCACGTGGCAGTTAGTATTGATTCTTACAATATTTGTGTAAAACTGGATCAGCAAAGAGATGCAAAGGGATGTGGTTTCAACGGGTACTCATATTCAAATTCCAAATCAGAAGGGAAGCTTAACTGCAGGTGATGGCATAGTGGAGCTAACTATAAGGCAACAGGATCAGCGATCATGGAGAAACGATTTGACGGTTAGAAATGCAGTTCGATGGTCATCCTTGAGAAGTATAAATAGTAGAGAAGGCCCCAGAAAAAGCCCCAGACTCAGATCCAAAAACCAGTTTTATTCTATTTTATTTCCTTTCTAGTTTTACATTCCCTGTTCTTTACATTTTTGTACTTTAAAATTCCTGCACTGCATTTCGTTCATAGGAGTAATTTCAAGTAGATTGTTGCTGTAAACCTCTACGAGGCTGAATTGGATCATTGTAAGTCTTTCGTTTTACTTAATGAAATACTGCAATTGTTCTTTAATTAATCATTGTCATTTTATTCCACCTAAGCAAAGCCACCAGTAAAAGTCTTCTTCATTGAGGCTGAAAGAACTAAAACACAATCGTCTGATAATTGGTTGGCAATTAAATTTCTGTAAGGATTTATTGATCCTTGTTGGCACGCTCACAATTACACAAATAACCTTCGAAAGCCAAAAAAGCCAACATATATTTTTGACACGTCCAGTGGGACTAATTAAAATGGCTAGAAGTAGGAGACAAGGAGAAAATGAACGCTTGGAAGAAGGCGTGGAAGGAGAGGTAGAAATACCTAATCCATAGGATAATGTGATAACACATCCTGTGGAAACACCTATTTTATCAAAACTTATGGTCGAACTGACCAGTACTTCGGAACAAGTACCACATGTTCATACTATTGGACGAGGCCAAAGAATTGGACCATCCATTGTTCCATCTACTCAGCCAATGAATCCATGGGGTGGCCTATTACATGCCATGGGACAGCAGTTAATGAATACAATGGAAATGTGGGCAACATTTTTTTTGGATCGAATGAATACCCACCAACCAACAAACACAAGACACATGAAGGAAATTTCAAATGTCCCTCAGCAAAGATTGGCTAGAGATAAACAGCCTATGCAAATTAATGGCTATTCTAATGGTCAAACTAGCAATCAAAACTATGAAAGACCATCATTTCAGTCTTGGTATGAGCCTCTTTCGAGGCCTATGGCAAGTCAAAATGCCTCATTACTTGACAGTGAAGCCATGCAAACTGGTGGATCTGGCTTAGTATAAGAAAATGGCATAAGGATGGTTCTAAATCCCATGTTCGAAGCCATACGTAGCACAAGAGGGTTCACTAACCCTTTATTCGAATTTATACCTGGGGGTTAGAAGGTTTTCTTGCAATTGGAAGAGACGCAACACCTGTTCCAGCACCTTTTGTAGGACAGACTTAAAGAGGTCATCCATACCCTCAACAGTAGCCAGTACCACAGGGACAACCAGTCCCAAATATACCACCCTATGGACCAAGAGGACCCCAAGCACAAGGTTGTCCATCAAATCCCTGTGTTTGTCCTTCCAGTAGTGGTTCAACAGGCACAAAATGTGGTCCCTAGAGATCAAATTACTGACATTGTTAGAGAGATGTGTGGACCAATGGCTCAGGGGGGGTTCAAACTCCTGTGTACAGGAAACCATACCCAGAATGGGTAGATAGGGCACATAAATACCTAAGAGGTTTCAGAATACCAGATTTTGTCCTTTTTTATGGGAATGGAAGCCAGTCAACGGTTGAGCATATTGCTAGGTTCGCGGCTCAGTGCGGTAAATTTACCAATAATGACTATATGAAGTTAAGATTATTCCCAAATCTTCTAATTGGGGGAGCATTTGCATGGTATATTAACCTTACACCTAACTCTATCCAAACTTGGCAACAAATGGAAGAGGCATTTCATGCCCAATTCTTCCAAACAGAGCCAGAGGTTTCCATGGCAGACTTGGCAAGATTGAGTCAAAGGCCTGATGAGAAGGCTACTCAATTTATTGTCATATTTAAAAGAGCACGAAATAAATGTAGGATCATCTTACCAGAGCCTGAATTTGTGAGATTGGCTCAAAATGGTCTAGAGTTTAGACTTCGGAAAAAGTTTGACTCAACTGAGTTTAGAGACTTAGTGGAATTAACCTATAAGGTGTCTAAGTATGAAACATTACTAGAAGAAGAACAAGATCGAAGTAATGCATCATACAAGACGTATTGTAGATATCCTAATTATGAGATTGATGCAGCAGAGATTGTAGAGAAAGAACCTGTGATCTGTGAAGCATTAATTCATAAAGATACAACAATTGACCAGCAGTTTAAAAAGAAAGACCTTCATAGGAAATACTCTTTCGATTTAACAAAGGCAGATGACATTTTTGATCGTTTGCTTGCTGCAAATTTCCTGAAGTTACCAAAAGCAGTAAAAATTCCGTCTCCAGAGGAACTTAAAGGAAAAGTGTATTATAAATGGCATAATTCTTGGTCTCACTCAACTAAAAACTGCATTGTTTTTCGAGATAGTATCTAAGAGCAGATTCGAAAGGGGAGTTTAAAATTCCCAGCTAAAACGGAGAAGGCCGTGGGGATTGATACTAATCCATTCCCAGAAATTGGAGAGGTGGCAGCGAATGTTATTATGCCAGACTTCCAGAACTTGACCTTGAAAGAATTGGAAGAAGTCAATGTGCAGATGCATGTGGCCAACTAGACAATTGTCAAGAAAGACAATGAAAATCTACCAATTATTGGACAAGGTTTCTCACGCCAGAGAAAAGACTCTGATGAAGAAGTACTGGATGACGATTCTTTAGAAGCAGCTATCATGCAAATAATGTGTCCCAGGTGCAGGTTGAGTTACAAGTGGTTGAAAAAGCTTTCAATTGATGGGAAACAATATTACAAGGATGTGCAGAGACGTCCTAAACCAACCAACGCTTATAACAAAAGGCCATATCCAACCAACATTAGGCAGCAGCCATTAATGGCTGAGCCAGCAGCCGCTAGAGTGCATTCTAAAGGCAAAAGGCCTTTATATAAGTCCAGAGCACCTAATTATTACAGAGTGGAGAGTAGTCATCCTGAAAGGAGACCGGAGAAGGGTTCGATTTATGGGATCAAAGCCAGAGATTGGCCTCCTAGACCAGCCTCACGCAGGACAGAAAGTGGCCACCTTCATCAAAGGCCTGAGTTAGGTCCAAAACAGGGAGTCAGGGCCAAGTAGTGGCCTTCACAGCCAGCTTCGAAGATGGCTTCGAAAGAAGAAAGAAACAGTTCAACAGTTGGGTTAGTAGGTTCGTGGGTACCTGGAGTTCCAGATTGGTTTGTCATGCAGAACAAACCTAAGGAGATGTCTACCCAAAGAAATGTTGTTGGGAACCTAGGTAGGATGGTCAAACCTCCTTTAGTGGCTCCAAACAATTGGGTATTGCTTAAGCACCCGAAAACCAAAGAACCAAATATGGTCCCAGTGATTTCTAGGTCCCAAAGAAGGAAGATCTAACGAAGGTATACTCAGTACCAGAAGGATCTGAAAGAAGGTGGGGAAAGTTCTTCATTGGTTCAGTTAAAGAGCCAGGCAGGAGGAGAAGAAGATTCAAAGTTAGACCATAATCTGAAATTAACTCTCCCAGACAAAAGGAATTGTAGCAGGGAGCAGTTGGCCAAAGTTCATTCTGAACTAAAGACCAAGGAAAGATCCAGCTTGGTAGGATTGGAAAAAGCTTTGATAGAAAGTGATAGTGAGATAGAAGATGAAGTCATCCCAGGCTAAACGAAGGGAATGGTTGAGGAAGAAATGTTTGAAGCCTTCATGGCTGAACAGACATTTTTGGTCGAAAAACTAACAGAAACAGACCATTCGAAGGAAGTTACTAATATAGAAGTGCCAGAATGCAGCATGGAAGACGTTTTTGAAGTAATTGAACAAGTTGATCAAGAGGAAAAGCAGGTGCAGCCAGTCGTCCAATTTGGCTCGTTCCCTCCGGTGTCAGTGAATATGGTGCTTGTATTACCATAGGAGTTTCAAGCTGAAAATGAAAACCAAGGTCAGGAGGTTGACCCAATTCCAGTCTCCAGTGAAAGCTCACTAGTAACTACGGTGCAAGATAAATCCGAAGCAGCCACACCAATGGAAACTGAGGACGAGAGTGAGGAAGAGGTAAGTATTAGCCTCTCGTACCCTTTTGAGTATCCCAGGACGTCCATGACACAGCATGTTAAACCCTTGTATATCAAGGCCTTCTTCGATGGAATACAGATGAATCGGGTGCTGGTGGATAGCGGGGCGACAGTAAACCTGCTTCCAAAATCTTCGTTGAAGAAACTAGGAAAGAAGAACCCCAGACTAATCCCAACCAGTACAGCCATTGCTGGTTTCACTAGAGACAAACAGATGGCCCAAGGTATTTTGCCCATCAACCTGAGTGTGGGAACCAAGGACTGCATGACAGCATTCTTCGTTATCGACGACAATGCTAAGTATAATGCTTTACTTGGAAGAGATTGGATTCACACCAACAAATGTGTGCTTTCTTCTTTACATCAGAAAATCATGATGGCCTTGTGCAATGGAGAGATGGAGGAAATCAATGCAGATCCTCAACCCTTCATAGCTTGTGCAGATTTTGCAGAAGCCAAATTATATACTGAAGGAGTGGCACCACTCGGTATACTGAGAAAACCTTATGGATCAGCCGATGTGACGGCTGATGAAGAATTTGCACACCTAAAACACTTGGTCCAGGAGAGTGCTGATGAAGAGTTTGTCGTTAAGGATGACAAT